AAGTTTCTCGTGAGTTTATCTCATCTTCTCCCTTTTGTCTACCACGCTCTACATCACTAATCGTATTGGATGGTATTTTATACTTTCTAATAAGATGTGTATAAATCTAATTATGTTTTCAGAGATAATAAACCTAAAAATGTTGTATTCATTTCTTTTATCCCCGCCAAGAAATTATAAATAGGTCTAAAGCTTCTGATTATTTCAAGAAAAAAAAAAAAAAAAAANAAAAAAAATTGTTACGTTCATGTTTATTATTTAGCCCCTCCAAAAACAAACTCTCAATTCTTAATGAATCTGTATAAACGTCAACCATGTGTAGCTTCAGTCCATAGTCAACGTGTCCTTAATTTGACCACAATTAAATAGTTCACTGTCACCAGAATATAATAACCACATTCACACCATAATATCATTGAATTCTTTGGGCCTAACTTAAGGTTTGAAATTATTCATATGAATATGTACAAATATAAATACAAAATTTATAAATTTATAAATTATATGGTAAAATTTATTAGGTTTTATTTATGAGCTTTTTATTTAATGATTAGATAGTAATTATATATATACACACAGAGGATACACCGATCCAGCGAGCCGGTCGAACGAAGCGAAGAAGCCGCTTTGGTCGAATATAGTCCGAACATGATGGCCGTGGTCGAGCACCACGCGAACGAGAGCCTTCAGGCTAGAAGGCAGTGTACATGGAACTCTGGCACACATAGAACAGACCGATCCCGTATCCATGAAGGATCTGGTCTGATCGACCATTTCCCAGACTTAGAGCAATCAACGGATTGACCTATAGGTGGTCAAGCATAAGAGCCTTCGAGGAGATCCCAGAGGAATCAAATCCCCATGCGGAGGACATGTGGCAAACTTAATTGGTCCATTGCGTATAACCGTCTCTGACACTCTCAGTGTATGTCGTACGAACGGGCAGGTCAAAGAGTTTTGGGCAGCCAACTTAGCTTGTCCGGGCAACCATATAAAAGCAAGTACCTCACCCATGTATATAAGGGTGAGTTTTACGATTCCAGCACGATTTATCCATTATACTCTTGAGATTGAGTGGTGCTTGAGACTGATTTAAGCATCGGAGGTTCTTCACCGAATACCTATCAGGTGTAAAAGTTTTTGCAGGTACTTGAGACTGATTTAAGCAACGGATGCTCTTTATCGATAACCTAAAAGGTGTGAGAGTTTCTGGCTTTTTGCAAGTACTCGACGTTCTACCGATAAAGAAGAAGAGGGTGAACCGAATTTCAGCCGATTAGAGTATTCGACGTTACCATTACATTTTAGTTAAATTTTTTATTTTGTGGATTTTGTGTGTCTAAGTTAAATTACGTTGTGTCTTATCTATCAAATGATTAATACCTAATCTTTTCTTTTTCTTTTTTTTTTTTCTTAAATGTGTTTCGTAAAATGTTATATCTGTAAATTGTCAATCCATCCCACAAAAACAACACACGCATAAACAAAATACAGACGCACACAAACACATATATCTAAGTGCACACAAAGAACAAATAAACAGACCAAAAACACAGG